GAGAGAGAGAGAGAGAGAGAGAGAGAGAGAGAAAGAGGAGAGAGAGAATGGAAGGGAAGGGGAGGGGAGAGAGAGAGAAAGAGAAAGAGGAGAGAGAGAGAATGGAAGGGAAGGGGAGGGAGAGAGAGAGAGAGTGTGTGACACAGAGAGAGGGGGATATCTCTTTATCCTACAACTCCTCTGGAGCCACATCACTTCCATCTCCACTGACAACTACCATCAGCACATTCCCTGAACTCCAGACTTTGATTCTCAACCATCAGACAATGGTGCCAATCTGCCCTGCATCTATTTCAAGTTCATCTTCATGAGTTGGAGGGCCCACCCTGCTTCTTTCTTCTTATTTCCCATGTAGAATCCAGGGCAGAGAACACACTGTTCCAAGCCATGGAGTAGAGAAAGGTTTATCAGCGTGTGCTCTACGGACTGGCAGCATCCACATCTCTTTTTGGTGGTAGAGCATAAATACTCTCTATTACCACAAATTATGCAGTTGACTTTCCTGCTTTTGGAGAAATCATGGGTTAGCATACCTGTAGTGCAATGGATGAGCCTCACCTTAGGAAAATCACCCTCATGATCATGAGATCTCCCTTGCCAGGTAAGTATGTATCCACACCTCTAGTAAGCTTGCTAGAAATGCATACTCTCAGGAACCACCCAGGTATACAGAATCAGTCACTCTAGGGCTTGCAGCTGTAATCTGCTTGAATGGGTCCTGACATGCTGGTCTGAGAAACACTGACTGAAAAATAACACTCAGGATTCAACCTAGACACTACTGAGCCTGCTTGGCCACGTCGTGTCCAGGACATATATTTGTGCCATTAACAGTGCAGTGAATCCTGTTTAGTGTCTACCTTCTCCTCTGAGCTCTGGGGACCTTGATTCAATCGTATTTACTTTACAAACTAACCCATGCACTGTGTCTGACATTGAGCGGAGGCTCAAATGCTTTTGAACTGCTATCATGAAGTTGGTTCAAATGATTAACTTAGGGCCAGAGATGTCCCTACCTGTGCAACAAATGAGCCCCTACCTTGAGTGGACTCCACAGCGGCAAGCGAGGGAAGGCATAGTTAACGCACACTGCACCTTTTCAAGAGAACAGCTCCGGGGAGGATGATCACCACCTGAACAATCCAAGTGTAATCCCTGACAGCAGAATCTCATTGTCCTTGGTATGTAAGCCAGGATTTTACTCATGTTTAAACATAAGGTGTACAATTCATCCTGGTCCCCAGGAAGATAGTTTTTTTGTGTGGAAGCAACCCCTCCTGAAGGAATGACATTGATCCCTCCACGTTGGGATCTTTCCCTGGAAGCCTTTGACATACTGAACTCAATAAAACATCAGACAGCAGCTTGCAGCCACACAATGGCTTAGAGAAAGTAGATACTACCCAGCTAAAACAAGATACACGTGGAATCTTTCAACTTTTTTCTTATTTCATTCAAAGTCATAATAACCTATGAAACAAAGCTATTGCTCACCTATTTTGCTATGGTTTATATAGGAGACCTCCTTTCTGTAGCTGATTGGGCTGTTGGAGTCACATTACCCAAGAGAGTAATTGTCAATGCTAATGGGAGCACAACAGAAGACTAAGAGAACAGTTTCTCAGCATGAGCATCTCTTGCTTAGAGCATCCATTTGGGGAGTATGGAGATGCCAGCCTCATTCACAGTAAAGGTGCCGGGAAAATTAAAACCAGAAACTCACTTGCGAATGAGCAGTGGGAACTTGAACACCCGAGGGAAGCAAATATGCTGAGTGGTACAAGATCCACAGAGAAGCATCGCCATGAGAGACAGGAAGGACTGGCTGCTGAAACACCCACGGGCAGCTTTCTGGGCTCATTCATAAAGTTTTCCTTTTCTCAAGGTGCATGTGAGTGGTCCTCTATGTCTCGAACCCTCAGGAAACTGGGCTGAGTGTAGTCTAGAAATTTAGATTCATTGTCAGGAGTGTTTTTGGAGTGACAAGCATTTTATTGTGATCAAGCCATTATCTCTCATTTGTAGGAGGAGCAACAGCATGGCATAAAGCCAGCCATGATCCCAGGAGTCAGACAGCCTTGGCTCAAACATGACTTTTCGTTTCCGCGGATTCATCTATCCTAGGTAGGTTAACTCTTCTGAACCAATGTTTGCCTAGTGCCTGGAATAAAAACTGCTCAGTAAATATGAGCCACTCACAATCCACACTCTTTCCACTGTCTCACAGTAGTCTGAATATTAGTCACAGTGATATTGAAATCCAGTTCAAACATACAATGTTTAGTTCCTTGGTGAGATGGAGTGCATGGGAAGACTTTGTAAATTGTAAAGGACAGCTATTAAAATTATTCTAGATATACTGAAAGTATAGAGGATGCAGTGTGCCAATCACGTGCATCTTTAGATGACTCTAGTACCCTCAGGCTTGGTACAGTCAGGGGAGCTCAAAATCCCCTGTAGATTCTGAGGGATAGCCGCACTTCAGTCAGCTGTTTTCAAAAGACAGTCCCTCAAACATCAGGGCCAGCATTTGAGAATACCTTAGAGAAACGCGTTCCTCAGGTGACTGGCTCAGAAATTCAGGCAGGCAGTTGACCTTAGGCAATTATTATAAACAAAGAATCCGCCCCCAACACCACCCCTGCAGACAAGCGAGTTCTAGCCAGAGGCCCCAGGAGAGCACACAAATAAAGATCCGGCCCCAAAGAGTCAACTTCCAGTAAGTGACCAAGGCCAAATCACTTGTTTGTACAGCCCATGGCCCAGACCCCACATTCTCAGAAATTCTTAGCCCCTGGCTTTGATCCAGAGCAACGTCAGACTATTGCTTTCCTCAGCCTACCTGAATACCTTTAACATGAGAAAGGAACGGCACCTTGGCGTGTCCTACACTGACCAACAACAGACAAACATAAAACAGGCCTTGGCTGTGGCCTCACTATACCTCATCTCCAAGCGGCAGCACTTCTGAGGCTGACCCCAGTCTCCCCAGATGAGAGAAGCAGCTGGTACATCTTTCACTCAGGAGTTGCAGGAAGTCATCTTACCCACACTATAGTTTCCCTCCCAGCGAAGGCGCTACTGCTGTTCCTGCTTCATTTTCTTGGTCTTCCCCGAGCTTAGAAGGACTTGCACTCACCTGGCCTCCTTCACAGCAAATTTCAGGCTGAAATGTCTCTCAGTGAAATAACCTGCAGCAGCGAGGAGCTAACTTCTTCTGACTCTAACGATTTGGGCATGTCATTGACTGAAATCTCTTTTGATGCAAGAGTTTTTAATATCTGAAAGGCACATAACCACTGGTTGGGATTTCTGATGTGTTAGAAAATTGGAGCAAAATAGAAACTTTTTAATGTTAAAAACATGTTTACATAAATCCTGATGCCTTATAGTTTTATCAAAAATATAAAGCTAAAAATAAAATGAAACTATTTCAATATGGTAATTATAAAACAATGATAAAGAAGAAACAGTTTCTTTTTTCTTGGTTCTTATGAAATACTTCATATTAACATTGCATTTAGTATTTTGGTTTTTTGTTCTTTGGTGTTGTTTTAAAGTGCCTGCTCAGGCCAGGTATGGTGGCCTTCTCCTATAATCCCAGCATTTTGGAGGATCCTTGACCACATTTTGAGTAACAATGTAAAGAAAGTTGCTTTTCCTAGTTGCTGTAATTTTAATGTGATGGCCAAATTAATGAATTAATGTTTGGAGGTGAGACCTTTGATAGGCATATCTGGCAGAGAAGAATGGAAAAAATATATATTTAAAGAGAACTGTACTTCTTAAATTAGTTGTATTCAAAGTGATAGTCCCCCAAACAGTAGGGCCAGCATTTGAGAACACTTAGAAAAACAAGTTCCTCAGGTGACTGGCTCTGAAATGCATAACACACACACACACACACACACACACACACACACACACACACACACACACACACACACAATTTATATATGTGTGTCTGTCAAAAGAGGGAAAGGGGACTTGTTAGACTGGCTTACACTAGAGGTCTGGGTGGTCTAACAATTGTGTACATGCTGAGGGGCTGAGAATCCAGCAGGCAATCAGCCCTGGGAACTAACTGAATGCCTTTGCACTCCTAACACAACTAACTGAATCCTAACTGGCGCTGAAGTCCTTGAAAACTGCTGGAGGATCCTTGGTCTCCTTCAGTCCGTTCTGGAAAGCCAAAGGAGCTGGAATCTGATGTTATCAGAGAATGGCATGACAGCATCAGAAAGGTGCTCTGGCTCCGGAAGAAGTCGAGGCAGGCGTGCAGGCAGTGCTGGTTTTCCTTGGACCCCAGAAGCCACAAATTGAAAGGTATCACTCCCTCTCAAGGAGGGTCTTTCCCCCTTGGTTATCTAATCCTCTCCGGAAATCTCACTGACGTGCCCACATGTGCGTTTCCTGGTGGATTCTGGCTCCACTCAATTTGACAATCAAGATGAGCCACCACAATAGGTGTGATGATTAGCATTAATTGTCGACTTGGTAGGATCTGGAATTATCTGGGAAATGGGCTTCTGGTCGGGCCTGTGGGAGATTATCTTGATTATGTAAATTGATGTGGGAAGACTTATCTAAATTGCTGGTGGGACAGTTCCCTGGTCAGGGAATCCTAGGCTGTGTGAAATGGAGAGAGCAAGCAGCAGAACACTCACCTGCTTACCTTCATGGATCGCTCTCTGTTTCCTCCTGGTGGCTGTGATGTGGCGGGCTGCTTTCCTGCTGCCGTGGCTTCCCTGCTGTGATAGTTCGCACCTTAAACCGTGAGTTAAAATAAGCCATCTTCCCCTTAAGTTGCTTTTTTCAGAGTGTTGGTTTTTGTTTTTTGTTTTTTTGTTTTCAATAGAATGAAATTGCTTTGTGGCAGAAACAACATTCACCGGGAAGGAACCCGAGTGCTCATCCATTCAAAGAACAAACTTGCCAAGTCCGAGAGCCAGTTACCCACCTCCCGCGGCTTCCAGAACAGACAAGGAGGAGAGGCGGGCACAAACAAATTCAGGGTTTTGACGGCTGGCAGAGTTCCGGTAAAGTACAATTTTCAAAGTTGTCGTGATTACGGTGGATTGATAGGGAGTCCTAAGACACGGCTTCCAGTGAGGAATTAATTTTTCTGGGTGGAAATCTGGGAGGGATTGGAGGATTGCTGCCTGTGACTGTTATATTCTGTAATCTCAGAGTGTTTTTATCACAGCGACAGAAAGGGAACTAAGACAGTGGGCAATTAGGATCAGTTGAAAGTGGGGAATCTCGTGATGCCGTCGGGGACCTTATAAGAGGAAAAAGCCTCAGCAAGCACATACGCTCTGTCTTACTGTGTGACACCTTCTGTCCTGTTATGATGCAAAAAGAAGGCCCTGGCAAGATCCCAGCATCCTGCTTTTAAGACTTCCTCTCCGGACCCTTGAGACAGATAAACTTCTGTTCTTTGTAAGTAACTAGACTCTTAACATTTTGTTATAGTGCAAAAAACAAACAAGCAAACACCCCAAAACCTAAGAGACAAATTCATAGATGAATAAAATTTGGTTCAGAGATGTGAAGCCGTTTTTTCCCTCAGTCCCTCAGAACACCACAGGGTGTCACGGGTTCAGGCTGGTTCCGCTTCCTGGAAGCAGATGTGCGAGACTGTGGAGTACTGTCCCACTCTGTGCAGATACCGGAGACTTTGCAGCCATGAACTTTCTCCCTCCTGGCCTTTGCTCTGTTGTCACACTCTTACTTTTAAATACATTTTAACCTGTGTAACATCCTTATTTGTTCAGAAATGGGCAATCAATTAGCTTCCACTGTGTTTTCAGGAAAAAAAAAAAAAAAAGAAAAGAAAAACTCTTAGAGTTGGCCCACGTCCGTTAATGGACCTGAAGCGCCTCGTCTCTCGGTGTGGACACAGGTTTCCTCTGTGCCGTGGCTGCTGTTGATCCCTGCCTTGGCGATTGAATGTCAGAACGAAAAATGTTGATTCGGTTAAATTATTTCCCTTAAACCTGCGATTCTCTGGAGAGTTTTGTCTTGGTTCCAGCGCTTCTGGATTGTGTGTTTCTGACACAAAGGTGGCAGTGGCAGCTGATGCTCCTCCTTCCAAACCTGTCTACCGTTCCAGTTGTCGGGGGGCACGGGCTGAAGCCAGTGTCTCCATCTGAAGGAGAAACTGACAACCTCTCCTCCCTGGAGGAGCCACGGCCAGCCAGTGTCAGTCACTGATCCTCAAGGTGGCATCTTCTCTCAGGTCCTTGCTGGGGTATTAGAGCACCGACTAGGTCATAGTCAGGCAGGAGAGATGTGTGAGAGCCCTTTGCTGTTACTCACGTGTGGGGGACGTTCAGCTCCTCTTGGCATATTGTTTATCGTGGTTTAAATATGAGATGCCCTGCAGAAGCCCTGTTTGGACTCTTCGTTCCCAGTTAGCGACAATGGGAAATTCACCGGACCATTAGGGTGTTGCTTTGCAGGAAGAAGTACATCCCCAGGCTTTGGCATTTTATATCTACTGCTACTTTATATTCTCTAATCTCTGCTTCCCGTGTGTGGATGAATGTGATCACTCTGCTTCCTGGCTGCCAATCCAGCCTCACACTCCTGCTGGCATGCCTTCCCATGCTATGATGGACTATACCCTGTCTGGAACTTGGAGCCAAAGTAAACTCTTTTTCCAGTAGGCTTCCTTTGTCATGGTATTCTTTCACAGCATCAGGAAAGTAACTAATGTGCTGCCCCTGCCCTACCCTCCCGGACTGCACACTCACTCAGCATACCAGTAGTGGAGGTTTGTGTGTAGCAGGGAACTAACTCTTCCTCATGTCCTTCTTTAGCCTTGCTGCAGCCATTTAGACAGACAGCGAACGACGCCCAACTTCCTCATCCATGTGAAGCAGATGATCAATATCATGAATTCGTGAGGCTTGGAACAGGCAAGGAGCAGCCGTTAACTCCATGAAACCGTTAACTCCATGAAAGCAGTAGGTACTGTTTGACACTTAAATCGCATTTGAACATGTCTAACTGTGTCAGGCTTTGCTTCAGAATGTCTAAACAAATCTCTGAGTTAGAAATAGGAGCTAGGTTGGTGTCAAATTTCCGCTTATGGGCCACCAACCTGTTCAAGGTGTGGCACATTCAAATTCTTACACAGTTATACCACGTACACAGTCATACCTCAATAAATGTTTCAGCCACCCGATGTAGTACACCATCTCTCACTACTAGACCTCAGCGAGGGAAGTAAGTTGATCTTAAGTACAAATCAGGGGACACATTCTGTTGTCCTTGGAAGCAAACATGGTCTCTGCGTGATTGCTGTTTGGTCTGCACCGTGCTTGGAAATGCCCATGCAGTCTGCAGCTGAGCTATGCCCTTTGAAAACAGACAGCTCACTGGCCCCCTCGCCTCTGCCCATCGATCTCCAGAACTTCTAAAGACAAGGCATGTGACACTGGCCATACAAACAGAGACTGCTTTGATGATAGGAAAAGGACTTTCTGCTCATGTTCTCCGGAAGGAAATTTGTATTTTCGTGTTGTTAATTTACTGGACAGTTTAGAGTTTGACGGCTTCTCCGTCTCGTAGGTACCATAATACAGCCCTCTCTGGAGGGCTCAGCTTCTGTAATCTCGCACATCCCCACACTAGATCAGCCCCACTGCTCCTCCCCCTCTTTTTGAGACAGGTTTTCACTCTGTAGCTCACATTTAGACCTGAAATTCACTATGTAGCCAAGACTTATCTCTGGATTCTTACTCCTCCCTTACCACCCTTGTTTTGATTTTATGTGCATTTTATATGGCTCCTTGATTTTTTTTTTTAATGAATAGAGAGCGATAGCTTCAAGTCTTATACTTCTGATGGGGTTCTGTTTGTCCATATGATAGTCTCTCTGGCAGTTGCTTTATAAATTTGATGCTGTAGTATTTGATGCGTATGTATCCATCATAGAGAGATCTTATTCTGTATTGTATCCTTTATCACAGGAAAGCAACCTTCCTCATATCATGTAGCATTTCCTGGTGACATTTTTGTATGTTTGAAAAACTTTTAGATGAAAATAATTGTTGAAAGAAACAAAATAAGAATAATTGTTTAGATCAGTTGAAAGCCATTTAGATGTTAATTGTTGTATTCTTTCAGCTTCTCCAAAGACCTAGAAGATGTCAAACTGAAAAGCTAGGATGTGTTGGGACAGCAGTGTGAAAACCACTTCAAGAGTTTCTATTCAGATGTGGTTGTGGTTTGCAAGATAGAAAGTGAACAGTTTCAATCTCTGAAGACAGATTTGAATCTAGGACCAAGGGCTAGAAAGATGTGTCAGCAGTCAAGTGTACGCAGTGCTCTTGCACTGGATTTTATTTCCTAGTACCAGCATTGAGTGGCTCACAGCCACCTGTAACTGTGGTTCCAAGGGACCTGGTGCTCTCTTTTGGCTTCTACATACACACGCTCCACCTATACACACACTTAAAAATAGTAAAATAAAATACAGTCTTTAAGTCTGAAATAGACCCGGAGCCTTCAGTTTCCTGTTGTGAAATAGGAGCAAACAAACTCGAAAGACCATTGCGATCCTCACAACGACACGTGTGAAGATGGAAGCCAAGCAGGGAAGTGCTCAGCCTAAGTCGCCTTCGCATCTTAAGATGCTGCCATAAAAGTTCAACCAGCATCTTTATACTCAAGAGTTCTGTTTCTGAAGCCAAGCTCTTAAGACTTACTAGACCACCTCAGGCAAATCACTTGATTTGCTGGGTCTGTTGTTTTTTGTTTTTAATTTGTAAAATAATCCTGAAAATTGTTATAATCACATGAAGTGATTAAGAGTGTAATTTTAATGTACAATCTCACTCTCATTACAAATGCCAGTGTTATGTATTTATCACTTACTGAAAGCCAAATATTATTCTAAGTACTTTTCAAATATTAAATAAATTAATTCTCCTAACAATCTTAGAGATCCCTACAATCTTATGAGATCTCTACAACTAGAGGTCTCAGTTTAACTTGTAGGAAATACACACAAAGAGAGAATTACTTTGCCCAAAGTAGCACAGTTGGTATGTAGGAGAGGTTGGATCCAACTCTAGACAGTCTGGCTCCAAAATCCTTACTTTGATCTGTAATGTCATCTCAATATAAATATTAAAAAGACAGTATCCTATTATTGGGGGGTTGCTAATTTGATTGACTAGGATCATTTTGACATAATCTAAAAGTATATATTAGATTTTTCAGAATATTCCATCTGTGATTTAGCTTTCTAGAAGTTTTACTGAGTAAATAAGTTGAATAAATAAACCTGGCCTCAAATAAAACACAACACAAATAAATAGCAACAATAAAACCTGCCTGGTAGGTGAAAATCTATATGCAATGCAGCTAAACATTGTCATCCTAAAATTTTAGTTGAGTGGAAAGTTTCAGGTGGTAAGGACCTTAACAGATTCATCTGTCAGCATGTTGGAATGAGTCTTTGATAGGCTGGAAAGAGGCTTTTTATAGACTCAAGCAAAAGAATCTTCTCTATGATTCAGCTCCGTGGTCTCAGGTGAAGTGTGTCACACAGAAAGGAGGCATCGCCATGGTTGCTCTCCTTTGAGGAGAAAAGATACCATATGTTCAGAAGTGTTGGTGCACACATGCTGATAAACTACCAACCTATTGCTATGGCTTGAATATGTCTCCCAGTGCAATGTGTTAGAAGCCTCATCTTCAGTTTTATACATTCATGTGTTTGAAAATGGGGCTCTTGGGAGGCAGTGAGCCTCAGGTGTCATGAGGGTGCAGTTTCCATGATGTCCTTAGTTGCTTTATAAAAATGAGTTAAGAGAGACCCAAGGTAGCACCCTTACTCTGTCTTTCTATGACATGTCCTCTGTTACATTATGATGCAGCAGGAAGGCCCTCGCCAGCAGCGGAGCAAATCCCAGGGCCATGCTTTTGTGTTTCCTAACCTCTAGAACCATGAAGCAAAAGCAGTGGTTCCCTGTTCTTTATAAATCACCCAGTATCAGATCCCAAAGATTATGAAAGAAGGGGATTGGCTGTAACCCTGAACAGTAAAAGGCCTTTGAAGATGCAAAGGATGAGTCATCTGGGGTTACCAGCATCATGTCACGTCCAGCTAGATGGGAAAACCACTTTGGCTGCTCACACATACACTGTCGTTTTAAAAGGTGACAGACTATTTGACCAACAAACACTAAAAAGAGATTTTGAGCTTCTGCGAAGTTAGTATGAGGTCACTCACTGTTAAAATATAATAGGGCCGTTTAGATAATGCCTTCACTGACAGGCGCACAAATGACCAGTATCACATATCACCTTTATTTGCAGACAGGCCTGTCCCTTAGTCTGTTCTGGCCAATGTCTGATGTTAGCATTGGGATCAGCTTTAGAAAGACCTGGACTGAGGAGAAGATTCATTGGTTCAACTATTGAAAGGAAGACAAAAAGATTCAGAGTCTGTAATTTTCCCACCCACATTAAGTTATTTGGATAAAACTCTGCTGTCATAATGCGACTGAACTCACTAAAAATAAAATATGTCTGAGAATACTTTCGCAGGTTTGACTACTCTGTGAGAAAGAACAGAGAAATTTGGGGGCCTCTGCAAAATACAGCCCTGTATCAGAAAGTGTTGGCTTTTGTTGAAATTTATTGCTGGAGATTTATCGACTTGTGAGATAAATATTGACCAAGTCAAAGTCAAGGTTATTACTTATCTTCAGGAATAATAAATCTTAGTGTTTTCAGTGACACAAAGTCAATATGTACTTTGCTGCATAAAGTCCAAATGAAGAGTTTCATCGAAACATCTGTAAATCTCTCCATCATGACCACAATGGTAGCTTTACAAATTTTATTATTAAAGAAAGAATGGTATAGAGGCCTGGTGGGAAGATCCACTGTTCACTGCTATGCAGGTAGCCAGGTAGCCCCATTTCTAGTGTGAGGGAACACTGGCTGGCTTCATGGTTGTTAGTTGGTTCCTGTTGCCACCGATTCCAAGTCACAAGAATCAAAATTTTCTCACCCTACATAGGAGGTAGAGTGAACAATAGATTCCTGACCACTGGTGCATTTCAGGACGAAATATTGTAACTTTTTAATACATGCAATAAATGGATTCCAGCAAAATTGATGGAACAAATTAAATGAAAACAGGCTTGGCTCTTTGGCAAGTCTGTTTCTAGCAGATAGTCACCTTTTTCAGTTTACTCCACCCACATCCCTCAGCAGTCATAGGGCAGTTAGCTCTACACAAGTCCTGTAAACATAGTTGTGGGTGCAGAAAGAAGGGAAAACCACTAATTCTTCCTTTGGGAAGTTCTTCTGCAGGGAGAGCCGTATATTGGATGACTAGCTGAAGGGTGTCTGTTATGTCAGGGATTGCAATTACAATAGGCTGCCTTCACCTGAGTCCTCCAGGCATGTAGGTGGGTCTAACCGTGTGGCTGTTTCTTATGGCATGCTTGGCTGCCACTGCAGGTGCTCAGCCTCAGAATGGGAGTCCAGCTCCCTGGCGCTGCTTGCGGCCACCTCTCTTCTGCAGTACCGCATTCCCCCCAAATGGCTGTTCTTTAGTTCCTGTTTACTTGTGCATTTTCAGGGAGATTGATCAAGCTCATAGCCCTTGTGCATATGAGGCAAAGATCTTACCACTGAGCTACACTGCTGGCTCTGCAGTAAACTTTCAACCTAGTAGCCACAGCTTCTTCCACAGTTTCAGCCAGATACACTTCTGTTTAAACCCTTGAGGATGACTTACATGTGTTAGTTTCTTAGGGGCTAAGACAATAAATTATAGTATGCCTTTTGTATCTGAAGATTCCATGCCTACAGATTCAACTACTATGGCTTAGAAATATTTTGAAACTAATTTTAGAAATTTTCCTTGATTGATTGATTGATTGGTTGAGTGTGTGTGTGTGTGTGTGTGTGTGTGTGTGTGTGTGTGTGTGTG